CACACACACACACACAAACCCCATCACACACACACACACACACAGAAAAGAAGAAGATTTCCTAAGCTACGAGTTTGCCTAGTTTGGGTCTGAACTGACAACAAATCAGTACCTTGTCAGACCAACACCACTGGTTACCCACATTGCCTACACTGGCAAAAAGGCAGAACTGGAGTGGTACAATTCACCATGGAAGACAAGTATCCAGGAAGATTTCAGGGGTATGTACAAAGGTTCAGAGAGAAAATTATAAAAATGCTTCAGATATTCTGAACTGCAGGTGCACTCTCGCTAAAGCTGGTGGAGCTGCTTCAGAGATGAATGGTTTTTCCTCCTAAACACACTTTATGATTCTCCTTTTACAGTCTTTATGAAATTAAGATGCAGGTAATGTTTGATTCCTTAGAACATTTTTCAGATGAAGCACTTGTGTTTAATCACCTTGTGAAGTTTTTTCTAAGACGGAATCTGCAGTTGGGAGTAGCTCTGACTCAGCAGCTACCATATTTATAAAAACACAAAAGCTGCAGTGAAATGTAATATGTATTACATCTTCATTTGGGAAGAAAATTTTGTGGTGAGCAATAAACGTATTATGGTAGAGATGGGTAACAGAATTAACCCATTAAATACAATCTGGCTCATTTCAAATTCACATCGATCTTTCATGCCAGAGATTTGCAACCTGTATAGCCTGCATCCCCTTGGCTGCCCACTTCCACTGTAAATCCAGATGAACTATGATACATGATAGAACATGGCTGACTTTTTAATGGCATCCAGTACAATAGGAACAGAAGAAACTCAAGGCTGCATCAAGATCAATGGACAGGTCTGTGCAGACCTCTGTTTATTCTCTGAATGAAGCAACAGTGGACAACGTTAAGAGGAAATGCTCAGAGGAGAAGTTTCTTCTCAACTTCTGTGAGTTAATTCACGTCTGTCCTAAAGGGGAGTCTTCACTCCCCTTCCTTTCTTGCAGAGCTTATCCAATCATATTCACAAAGATTTTCATTCTACATGAACACTGAACCCTACAAATTTATAGTTTCAGTAATTCTTAAGGCAACTACTACAAGAAGATAATTATGTTATTTGAAAATAAGTAGCTTCCTTTAGTCATCATTGTAACATGTTGCTTTTCAAACTTTTTCAGTTCCGTTTTGCTAAACATCAAGTTTTCAACTGATGTATGCTAAATTTTCTCTAAAATGAGCCAAGAAAATAGAACCCATTTTGTTAGAGTTGACTTAAAAATTTAAGATAAACATCTCAAACAGTCTTAACATTAAAAGGAAAAAAAAAAAAAAAAGCTGAGGTGATGGCAACTACACAAGCAACAATAGCACTTTTCAAAATACTAGTTTGATGACAAATCTCCAGTAAAGAGATCAGGTAAGTTTGTTTTGTTCATGCTTTTGTTAGCGTCTCTACCTGGCAAGAAGAGAAAGCTCTCCCTTTATGCTCAGTAAAGTGCATGCCTTAAGAACAGATGATTAATGGAGAAAACTAACTGACCTAGGTCAGAGAAAGCAAACGAGCAGAGCAAGAGAGGCAACGGTACCAGAGCTGCCCTGAAAGAAAGGTTATCGTGCTCTTCTCTATTTAGTTAAGATCACATACATTACAAAATAAGCTATAGGCATAAATAAACCTATCCTAGACTAGCGAAAGGTTCAGAGACTGATTCATGTTCAAATGGAGCTACAGGAGATCTTCTGAAATAAGAGAAAGAAACAGCCTGAAGCACAACAGAGCCCAGTCACTTGAAGTATTTGCAATCCTTCATGCTAGGACCAAACCCCAACTCTGTGATTCCAAAGGTCAGTCTCACAGTATTATTCCAACATAAGTGCTTGAATTTCACTGAAACATTTGAGAAATGAATATGAAAAATGAACCAGCATTAATGGAATTTCACAGAATTTTACACAGAGAAACTAGACTCAGAGGAGGCAGCAGATAACCCATCTTTAAAAGCAGGGCGCTGAAAAAGAATACCAAAGATCATAACTAAGTAATGAATTAAATGAATTCTAAAACAACATGACACTTTCAAGCTGTTTAAAACTTATCTAACCAAATATTAGCCAATTGGGATGCTCCCAGCTGGAAAGTATTCTTCATGAATACAAGGCAAAAATGACAATCTTTTTTATTCTTTTGTTACTTAAACTAAGAGGTCTAATCTATGGAAAACAGAGACAGATCACTGATCAAGCAACAGAGAAAGATCTATCAATTTAAACCCTTACGTTGATGCATCATTGATAAACAGCTTAAGATTGTAAAACTTGAAGTCACTGATTCTAAATACAATTATTTTTTCAGTTCACAAAAATGAGAGAAGCGTGAAATGCTTCAGATAGTTTATTATAGTAAATGTCTTAAAAAGCTCAATTTCATTGCAGAAAAATAAGTGGCAGTTACCTACTCTGTTGTATTGCTCTCTATTTAGCTCTACTTAATTTTTAGTGACAGACTAAGCAGCTATGTATTTTTGCTGCGTCGTCTTTATTCATACTGCAGAGACAGCACATCTCTGACTGCATAGAGTATTTTTACTGTATCTCAAGCAACCATAACAGGATTCATCTTCCCATCATCCACATTCCCTCCTGACAGCACTTGAGTATTCTCACAGCCTGGCTCCTCCTCACATAAAGATTTTAATTCCGCTCCTCCGTAAGCTATACTAATGATGGAATATGAATTACTTTTGTGTCCTTCTCCTTGTCGAGTCATGTACAAAGCACAATGGAAGTTGTTAACAGCTGACAGGGAAGCTTCCAGCAGCAAATGCAGAAATTCATTTAGCAGAAGACATTTGCAAACAGAGTACAAATAAGTAGTTTAGTGTGCAGCCAACAGTCGTAGGACAAAAAAGGCACCTATGGCAGCAGCAATCTCTTGTTCATCATTGTTCATAACAACTACAATATGTCAAGCTGTCATACCAAAATATACAATCTATCTATACAGATAAGAAAAACAAATCAGCACTGAAGAAATCTCTTGGCAAGGCAGAGCATGACTCACCTCAGTTACAGTTACTATAGAAACTATACCACATCTAGATGGCACCATTATATGCATATGTGGCCAAGCTTGGTTGCTCTGGAAACCATAAACTTGAGATACTTAGAGAGATCTTGTTTACATTTGAGGTTTTGTGTTTGCAGTCAGGCAAATATGTAGCATGATATGAATCTCAAGAGCCTAGTAAGCTTATGTACTAAACATAAATTTATTAGTGTTATACCAAAATGGCAAATTATTACTCAGGAGCTGTACTTTGGAAGCCATTTTCTCTCTCTTCAAGAAAACCTTTTTCCTCAGAGGCAGTCTTAAGCTGGCTTGAAACATAAGCAATTCTTGCAGCCATTAACCTACTTAATGCAAGTTCTAATTTCAAACTGTTCAACTGGGATTCCATGCAATGGCTTCACATGTCTACGTAAAGCAAAATCCATTTCAGTCACGCATCTGAGCACTAAAGGATTAATTTAATACCTAAATTCAAACTCTTGTTTTTAAACAGTAAAAATAATTCTGGAGTCAGCCAACTCTTGAGAGTACGGGATCCAATAAAAGGACTAGTCACAAAATCCAAATGTGTAGCAGATCCACCATTATCCCCTTAGTCCTCGTCTCAATATTAAAAAGCCCCTGGGTAACTATTAAAACTTGATAATTATGAATATATTCATGGATTTAACCTTATCAGGATTGCAGTGATTCAAAACAGCTTGGTTTTCACCTCTGCTTCTGCTTTTTTCTTTGGGGTTTTATTACGTACTATTTTGAAAAGCTCTGAATAAGCCAAGCATTTTTTCTAGCTATATATGGTCAATATTTTTGCTACTCCATTTGATCTTCACATAACAAACTGAAAGCTTTAAAAGTAAGTACTTGAAGAAATTAGAAAGTTTATTTAATTTAATTACTGTCTTAAGGTATTTCCAACTACCTTTACACAAGCAAATAGAGATGTATCAGCATATAAAACCATAAGCCAAGATGCTGTGAACCCACTGGTGTGAAAAATAAGGCTCTTTGTCTTTCTGCTGTCCTAGGAGAGGGCAGATGGGAAATTCACGAGATTCTGGAAATCTGGAAAGGTTGAGAACACTAAAAAAAGCAGATTAAAAGTGATCTTTTCAAAATGTTTTTAACAAGACCTACTAGATATACTTTTGATGTACTTTCATTTGTAGTGAAATCACTACCTCCTATATATTGAACAATTTCATATAATTCTAAATTAAGAGATAACTGCTCAGAGTCATTTAACCTAAAATTATTTAGCTGATGGTCTTCAGATTTTCTGGGGTTTACTGGGGTGGAGGAATATCAAACACTGCTTTACGTATACTCACTTCAGTCCCGGAACATCCAGAAGATTGGTCAGTCCAGTCCAGTTAATTTCCAAAAGCTGTGAATTACAGAGAAAAGGGGGGGAAAAAAAAGGAAAAAAAAAAAAAAAAAAAAAAAAAAAGAAAAGCAACTTAGAATTCACAACACTGAATAAATAAACCTGATCACTATAGATTCTGATCAGGGGAGGGTTAATAACCAGTTTCCAGGATTTTCTTAAACAGAAAACCAAAACCTCTTCCATGCTAAATAATTTTTAGCCATGGTTTTTAAAACAGAGTTATAAAAACAACTCACCATCCTCTTACCCACCCTTCCACACATACACATAAATACACACAAGCACACCCTAATATATACACGTACATAATATCTACTACATACAACCAATATCAGATAATGAAATGTGGTCCTATTTTCTGGAGAAATATTTTAATATTCACCGTAGAACTGTTATAGATGAACAGTCACCCCAACATGAATTTGCAAAGTATAATAAGCTGATGAAGAATCCCATTTGAGACCAGGAAAATAAGAGATCTAGAAGACATGACCAACGGAAAGAATGAAGGATTGGGATTAAGAAGGTGGAAGGAGGACGTGACAACAGCTTGCAAACACAGAGGAGGCTGTTTTCAATGACAAAGAGACAAATTCATTCTACCACTGATGCAGTAAAGAAGAAAGGTATCAACAGAATTAGGTATCAAAGTGAGAAAAATCCTCAGAAATAATTAATAGGGATAACTCATTGCTAGATTATATGTACTTCCTTCACTGAAAATCTTTACAGAATATTAGACATACAAATGCTATAAAGGTACATTATTCTGTTTCAGGGCTGCTGGCATTAACAACTGATTTCTAATGTCCTTTTCAATCCTATAATCTTCTCATTCTAGATAACAAAACTAATAGAACTGAGTTTCCTTATCCCCCTTCTCAGGGAAAACTTTCAATTAACTGCATAGAAGTTAACTGAATATAAGCAACAAACAAATCCAAACACACCCAACTACCACCGTGCTTCCAAATCCAACTAACCCAATCTAAGGATAACTGCATGAAAAAAGTTAAAAGGATTTTGAGCTTCCTCAGTTAAGAAACTAATTGTGGTGGTTCAGTTAAATGCTGACACAAAACAAAAAATCTCTACAAGAACCTATGTTGCATCTTTCCACAAACAGGCAAGAAGAATCACCCTACATTCATTTTCTATTAAAAAACCCAGCACATACTATTCTTTATAAAGCATCTATTAATAGTTAAATTAGTGTTTTCCTTTGTGAATACTTCGACTAAAGATAATACATAATACATTTACTTACATAAGGAGCACTGTTACTTAATATACTTTTGTAATGGTGGCCAAACATTTCAACAATGTTATCTATGAAGCACCTAGCCTACCTGTAACAAACAATTAAGCAGAAAAAAAAAAATCATTATCCTTTCTTCAACAGAAAAGGTAGTAAGATTTAATAACTGAATATTCCAAAACAAAAGGCAAGACATATCCTGGGATGTACTGCAAGAATCTACACAAGCCAGCAACATGCCACAAAGAAGGCTAATGGTATCCTGGGCTGCATTAGGCAAAACATTGCCAGCACGCTGAGGGAGGTGATCCTTCCCCTCTACTCAGCACTGGTGAGGCCACACCTGGAATGCTCGGTCCAGTACTGGATTCCTCAGCACATGGACATACTGGCGAGAGTCCAACAAAGGACCATAGGACCATGAAGATGATTTAGGAACCAGAGCATCTCTCCTATAATAAAGGCTGATAGAGCTGGGGCTGTTTAGCCCAGAGAAGAGAAGGCTCGGGGAGATTTTATTAATGTCTATAAATACCTGAAGGGAGGGTGCAAAGAAGAGAGAACCAGGCTCTTCTGGTGCCCAGGATTTTATTAATGTCTATAAATACCTGAAGGGAGGGTGCAAAGAAGAGAGAACCAGGCTCTTCTCAGTGGTGCCCAGTGACAGGACCAGAGGCACTGGGCACAAACTGAAACACAGGAGGTTCTCTCTGAACATCAGGAAACACTTTTTTACTGTGAGGGTGACTGAGTGCTGGAGCACGTTGCCCAGAGAGGTTGTGGAGTCTCCATTCCTTGGAGATACTCAAAAGCCATCTGGACATGGTCCTGGGCAACCAGTTCTAGGTGGCCCTGCTTGAGGAGAGGAGTTGGACCAGATGACTTCCAGAGGTCCCTGCCAACCTCAACTATTCTACGAGTCTGTGAGCATTTTACAACAGAACACAAACATTTGGTCCCATCCAGGGAGTAAGATTAGTGTCTTCCTAACTATGCCATTGAGAAGGGTGAATAAACCTACAGACTTCAATAGAATGCTTAAAATGTAGCACTTGCCCTGCTGATACCCATTCAGAAAGTTTCTGCAAGATTCTTCTTAGCCTCCTTCTTTTCCCATATTGCACTCCTGTATCGCCATACAGTCAGGAGAGAAACAGAAATAGGGACTCTAGTATAGGCATCTAACTTAAACTCCAGTGGATGATTCAAAGAAGCTTTCTCTCTACCTCCATCAACTAAAAGGAATCCAATGGAGATCTGCCATATTTCAACATTTAGAAACCAACACACTTAGAACAAAGTAAGTATAAATTTATACAGATCATTACAGTTTATGTTTGCTTCCTCTAAATGCAATTTTCTAAACCCTTCAGGATATTCATGTTTCCCAGACTCTGAAAGAATGAAAGAAAGTCAAAACAAATTTTCATTCCGTCATTACAGCATCAGACAGAAGAGAAGAGCCCTCAGAACAACAGCTAAACTTCATGGTTGTCCTGGTTTCGGCAGGGATAGAGTTAATTTCCTTCCTAGTAGCTGGTACAGTGCTGTGTTTTGGATTTAGGATGAGAACAAAGTTGATAACGCACCGATGTTTTAGTTGTTGCTAGGTAATGCTTACACCAGCCAAGGACTTTTCAGCTTCCCATGCTCTACCGACTGAGAAGGCTGGAGGTGCACAAGAAGCTGGGAGGGGGCACAGCCAAACTGGCCAAAGGGACATTCCATACCATGTGACGTCATGCTCAGTACATAAACTGGGGAAAGCTGGCCGGGGGGGCCGCTGCTCGGGGACTGGCTGGGCATTGGTCGGCGGGTGGTGAGCAATTGTACTGTGCATCACTTGCTTTGTGTATTATTATTATTATCATATTATTATTATCATTTTATTTCAATTATTAAACTGTTTTTATCTCAACCCATGAGTTTTTTTTCTCACTTGTGCTCTTCCAATTCTCTCCCCCATCCCACCGGGTGGGGGGGAGTGAGCGAGCGGCTGCGTGGTGCTTAGTTGCCGACTGAAATTAAACCACGACAATGGTTTAGCTCTATTCAATTCATTTTCTTACTTCACATACTGTTATGTTGTGTGAGCTAAAATGCAGTAAACAATACACTTCTGCCAGTTGTATGTATTTTATTATGTTTAATTATGCCTTTGTATCCTCCCTTTTCCCCTTGACAATTACAGAGTATTCCCTTTATCCATCCATTTCATATAGTGATTTTTGCCCAGGAATTATATTAAATATCTCAGATACAATAATGATGAAACTATGATACCAGAAAAAAAACCAAACCAACCAACATTTTTATTGTTCTGCTCCTACCCTTAAAAAACACTTTCCCAAAGTATCCACAGTAAAATAGCAGCAGTACAGAGAACTGAAATGTAAAGCTTGAGACACTCTGCTGAACTGAGTAAGGTGTTTCCTATAAGCTTAATTCTGTGGCTTTAGAAATAACAGGAGCTTTCTAGTAAGATATTGAAGAATTGATGCTACTGTGAAAACTTAGGTTTATTTTTAAGAGATTTCTAAAACTGTATTTTGAAAGTTTCATCAGAAAGTTAATTTTTCCTTTTGATTTACTTTTCAGCACGATATCCCAAACAGATGCTGAAAATAATATGTCGGAGGAGGAAAAAAAGTAACAGAATTTTGAACTTTTTACTAAATAGCAATAATTTTTTTTTGCAGTTTAGGGCATAAAGAAACAAAGATAAAATACTTCTTGCATTAGTTGCTGGTATCACTTCTGTTTTAGCCTTTTCATCATTGGTGAAATGCAGCACTGGATAAATTAAAAATGAAAAATTTTATTTGTCTGCTGGTAATTACATTTCGCAATTAAGGTATTTTGTCTTTGTAACTAGTGTGTTCCAAAGACATCCTCTTAGTCGTTTATTTACTTCATTATGTGTATTAAAATTATCTTGCAGGACAAAATGAAACACAGCATCAGATACTATTTCATATAAATCTGAATTTCCAAGTTCACGTTTCCAGATGCACACAACATTGGACGTAAACAAAATAATGTTATTAGGAAAGATATTCTCCAAATGTAATAGTAGCTCTAGTGACCAAGTTGCATAAACAGGTGGAAATAGATAGCTTTCCAAAAGTAAGTTCTGTGATAAAATAACTGATTTTTGGACTCTAGAAATTTTAATGAAAAAGTGTCCTTACCCAAAGGCTGGAATACCTCTAAAATCCTAACTTTTATAAACACAAGGTAAACAGTTATGGTCTCTTTGCTCTTTTACATGGTAGAAACAATTAATGTTAGATGGCTACTCTGCAATTATTCATATCTGTGACATTGATATTTGCTCTCATTATAAAATAACTTCAAAACATAGAATGTGTCATCATCTCAGAATGGCATTTTTTTCTGAAATATACAAGGGCTTTTACAACACTCAAAAGCATTAAGTGAACAACATGGTAAAAATTAATAATTAAAGCACATTTCATAATGATGAAGCAGATCATATTCTTGCTACTTGTAACAACAGTCATTCTAAAATATGCAATAAATATTGACAGGCTTGGTTTTAGTTTTCCACTTATGAAGTGATACAAACCCTGGATGAATGTGCAATAAATTACCTGAATAACTGGTACACAACACCAACTAAATTATGAATGCAATGGTAAAATGTGAGACAATGCTCTAGATATGAGCACCTTCAGAAAACTTTTCAAATTGAGTTTACTTTTCCCTTAACGTCATG